TGTCCACACCATACCTGCAAGTTTGTTGGAGAGGGCAGCACATCATATGTGGCTCTAACGATATAACTTTTTGTTTGTTTCCACGCTCCACAGCTCACTCCAAGTGATTTTATGCGTTCTATACCTTCCCACCTCATCCAGCGGCCTTGTTGATCTTGGGAGACTGCACTAGCGTAGTTGCTTCCTCCTGACGGCGTACCTCCTCCACCACCAGATGTCGCTGTTCCTTTGCTGTTGCCTTTTGTCATTTAGGTGCTATTATTCCCAACCCAAGTACCCCTCTACCATATTAGACTTGCCCCACAATATCTCTATGTCTGAGGGCTGCCTTTGCATCAGCAACTGCTGTAACTGGATTCCATTTCCTCCCTGTCTCCAATGTTGGAACAGCATCTCTTACGCAGGAATCGCGGGATTCTTTAAGCGTCATCTCCAGCCTCGTTCTGGCACATTTGTGCTCCTCCACAAGGCTTAAAATAGGAAGAGATAGAGCTCCATTGACGTACAGGTCTATGTTTCTAAGGCATCTTGGTAGCCCAATCCATTTTCTCACTTGTGTACTCACCAGTCTCTCCAGGTGCTTGTCGTGAGATAAAGTGAGCTCATATATGGAAATTGGCCACGTAAGACGTGGCAACAAACCAAATTGGAAGCACCACAGCTTCAACTTCCCTGGTAGAGCTGTACCATTGATTCTCTTGAGTCCACTGACTGTCTCTTGCCTGAGTTGTCCCACCTGTTTTGAGACTTTAAGGTCTGCGGTGTACCAACATCCAAGGCTTTTGATGGGCTTTTCCATGACCGTTGGTATGGGCTCTCCCGGTATACAGAACCTATCATTAGTAAGTCAGCCTTTGACAATGGAGATGCTGCGAGATTTTCCGGGTTTAATCTCCATTTGTGTGTTTTCAATTTCAATTTCAAAAGATATCAATTATGATATCTATTGCCATAGTGAATGCCAATGGAGAGATGGTACAACCTACCATTATGCCAACCTCCAGCTACTGCCAGTTGGTGGTACTATCCTGTATGGTAATACAGACCTGAAGATCCCGAAAGTAGGCTTTAATCAACTTTGTTATCTGTTCTGGAAACATGGAAGAAATCAAATGCTGCCTACAGCAGCTAATGTGGCACTGTCCCAAAAGCATTGGCAAAATCTAAGAACACCACATGTAGGTCTTTCTTCTCCTTTTTGGCCATCTGCAACTGGTGCCAAATCATGTTAGCATGTTCCAAACATCCTGAGAAGCCCCCTATGCCTGCCTTTTGCATTGAGGTGTCAACAAAGTTGTTGTTCTTCAGGAACGCTGACAGTCTCTGCGCCACAACGCTGAAGAAAATCTTACCTTCCACATTCAGGAGGCTAATTAATCATT